CAGAAGTAAAAACAGTAAAAAAATTAAAATGAAATGAAGTAAAATAAAATAAAATAAAATAAAATAAAATAAAATAAAATAAAATAAAATAAAATAAAATAAAATAAAATAAAATAAAATAAAATAAAATAAAATAAATGTAGAAAACCATTAGTTTAACTTCAATGATATTATTTGAAATCTTTATTATAATCACTTTTTTATTAAGTTTTTATTTTAAAATTTATGAAGACTTGCATTTTTTGGAGCATTTTGGGCATGGTGAAGAAATAAACAAAATTTCTTTGTACCAAAATTTCCTAAAATAAATCCAATTTTCCATTGGCCACTTAGTAAATGAAAAGTATACTTTGGTTTTATTGGTTTGCATTCAGTTCTCGGGTCTACTGTTATTTACCCAAAATTATAAAATCTGGTTTCGCCATTATTCGTATGTGTGTTTGAACAAAAACATATACACATATTTGTAGTAAGTACATTATTTTAGCCAAGCTGTCTAAAAGAGTTTCTCTCTATATACATAAAACACAACACAGTAACGTTTGAATAAACAGAAAGTAATGTAAAGAAAAGCAAAAAAAGGAGATATATTTTATGTCAACCATAAATGTTGATTTTGTTGTCCAGTCAACAATTCATCGCTTTTGGTTTGCTCAATAAGTTGCTTTCGCTTCACTTTCGCTTTCTGCTTTTCGCTTACCTTTTCTTTTTTCTATATTTCCCGCACCGCATCTTTCACATACAAAATGTTTGCTTTCCGTCTTGTTCTGCCTTTTCATCGCATTTTGTTTACTTTGTATTAAAATAAACATTACCAAAATGCTTCTTGTGCACTGTTGTTTTTTTGTTTTTTGCCATGGAACGCTACGCTTCAGTTGGCTTTGTACAAATATGCTTGGGAAATAACATTCACTTCTCACTTGGTAATTGCTTGCAAATGCACACACAAACACACACATGCACATCCACACTTCTGTATAGAGTCGCATTCTAATGTTTATGTGTATGTAGATATGTGTGTAAAAAGTGGTTGTAAGTTTATTTCCTACACATATACATATATAAATACAATATTTGCACACATTCCTTTGGCTGTCAAGTTGGGCGAGCGTCGGAATTTTGTCTCATTTCTTGTGGGAGCATTTGTCAGCTTTATCGACATACATACATTTTGATATATACATTTATATATGGATATATTTGCCTGTCAAGGTTGATTGTATGAAACGGAAAAATCCTTAAAATTTTATTATCGACACGTGCTCTACAGTGCAGGCAGACGTCGTGACATTATATACGGTTATATGCTTGTAAATATGCATATCTGTAAGATTTCTTAAATTTTTATGTATATATTTGGCAATCGGAATTAAGTTTCTCGATCACAAAGCCTACGGTTTGTGAGGTGTCAAAACCATATGTGTGGTCAGTAGCAGAGAGAAATATATACATACATACATTGACATAGGAATATTTGAATATATTTTAATTTAACTTAGGCTATCGTTGACTATATAAACATAATATACATACATATATACATACATACAAAATAAAGGAAAACTTAAATTAATTTATGGTAATTGAAAAATCGCTGAAGGATCTAACGCTCCACTCTTAAATACACGAGCGCAAATAAGAGCTCAATAATAGATTAGAAATGCAAATTTATTTTTTCTTTTCTTATAAGGATTTTTGGAAGCAACTGATTTACATGCTCAAAAATAATTTGCATATTTCCGACATTGAAAAAAAAGAAAAAGATTAAAACGCTTCAAGCCTGGAATGAGCAAAGAAATTCATGTAGTTGAATAGCGTATGGCATAATTGAATTTTGGTAATAATAAACCTTAATCTGTGTGCGTCCTTTTTAATACGATTTCCTTATATGTAATGAGATTTAGTTTTACAAAAATAAAAAAAAAAAGAATAATAATAATATTAAGCACTAAGGATGTACGTGCAATCAAAGCAAATGACATAACCCTTTATTTTCCCTAGAGACTTGGCAAGTGTTTGATCGGAAAGAGTAGAAAAATAGTTTTTTTTTTTAATTTTCTTAAATTTTTGCAAAAAAAGTTATAATTTTTAAACTTAAAATTTATACAAAAAATTTAAAAGAAGGTACATAAAGCATGCATTTCATAAATATTATATTTTTATTATATAAATTTTTAATTGTTTTTAATATATTTTTTAAGAGAAAAATTTTTATATAATTTTTTTAAAATTTTTTTTTTTAATTTTTAAAACTTACTTAGAAAAGTTGTTCAAATTACAAAACAACACTTTTACATATTCTTCAAACTCCTTTACTTTATAAAATTTACCGATTGTTAAAACGAAATTTATTACAAATTCTGAAAAGAAGTAAGAGAATTATGATACCATTTCATATCATTCTTCATGCAACGCTATCCTAAACACAAAATTTACAGTGTCTACTACCTGAAAGTGCTCAAAATATTCAATTATTATGTTAATAAAATAAAATAAAATAAAATAAAATAAAATAAAATAAAATAAAATAAAATAAAATAAAATAAAATAAAATAAAATAAAATAAAATAAAATTAAATAAATTAAAATAAAAAAAATAAAACAGAAAGATGTAAAATTAAAGTAATAAATTAAAATAAAATAAAATAAAACGAAAAGAAGTAAATTCAATTAAAAATAAAAGTAATGAATTAAAAATTAAAAAATAAAATATTTTTTACTAAGCCATTCAGACTCCAATTAATTATTTTGTCGTAACCGTCTCAGCTGAACGACTATAATATCCACCATCAGATCGATGTTTTCTCCTCTAATTTATGACAGAGAAAAAATTTATCCCCAACCTAGATATAATATACTGCAAATTAAAATTCCCCACGCAAGTGAAATGACCAACTGAAGTCGATTTCAAAATTCGCCCAAAGCCATTTGGCATTAGTGTGATATGAACCGTGTTGAATTGCAAAATGGATGCCCAATTATTTTTACATTAAATTCACCAAACGTTATTATGCTTGTCCTATTATGATTATTATTACTACTGCATTGTTGTTCTGATTTTGGTTTTAGCATTTGCAAAAATACGCACTATCATTGCACGCGATTTGCCAAAATCGCGCAGCTCATAGATTTAGGTATTTTACAGCTACACATACATACATACAAATGAACATGCACATGTATACATTTTCAATATTTCCGTTTGAGTAATTCGCAACGGTTTATTAGTGCAACGGAAGGCAAAAAAGGAAAAAGAAACGAATAATTCTTGCAACAACAACCAACATCAATGGAGAATATATTTGCCAAAAGCCGCATGAGAATTGCATATATAATATGGAACACTTTATGCAACAACATAGTGTGTGCCACACGAGCAGCTGGTCGGTGAAAATACGTGCGCTGAGCGGTCTCCACTTGTACGACTATGTGTGTACAATGTAAACAGCTGTCCATAAATGTACATTACTCTAAGTGGGTGTGGTTGTACATATGTATGTTGAAGTGTGTGCGTTGTGGGGCAGCAAGTGCAATTTGCGTGAATGAATTGGAAAATTATTTTCAATTCCTACGCCTGAATGTGTTCTTGCACAAATGCAACAAGCTTTTATACATATGTATGTATTGGTATACACATAATGGAAATTTTTCAAATGTACATATATTTGTAGGCAAATGAATAAAAGTATAAAAAATTTATTTATTTTTTATATGTGTATATGTGCTTCCATATACTAATTGGAAAATGAAATAAATAAATAATTTTTTATAGTAACTCAATAGCCTTTTGGAAAAGAAAAATAAATTTTTCAAAAGATTGTTAAACTAGTCCAAAAAATACTAGTCTCCAGAATTTTCAGCTTAGTCCGAAACGAATAAAAGCACAACAATTTTTTATCAATAATTCTTAGTTTGAAAAATCAGGCTAGTCCAAAAAGTACTTGTATTAGTGTAGTGAAAACGCATATAAAATGTAAACCAAATTTTACAGCAACCCAATGGCATTTAAAACAAAAAACAATCAAAACTAATTTTTCAACAAAATATTAAACTAGTCCAAAAAATACTAGTATGTCACCAGAATTTACAGATTAGTCCAGAAATAATAAACTGAGTATAATTAAAAAATTACAAACTATTTTCAAAATTACATAAACTTATAAGGGAAAATATTTTATCAATCTTTTTACGAAATCATTATGAAAAAAAAAAATTTAAATTATTTAATGGATTAAAAAATAGCACTTGCAGTTACGAAGTTGCTTTCAACTAGTTTATTTGTATAGAAAATGTATAAAAAATGCAAATGTACACATGTATGTACATATGTACAATCAACATATGGCCAATGGCATAGTTAGTGTTATTTTTTATAAGTCCATACATACGTTCACATGCACATTAATTCATACATAAATGCATTTGTATTGTATTTCATATATTTTGTTATTCAAATCGGCTTAGCCACAATGGAGGCTAGCTCATAGTGAATTGAATATGCTAGTATGTGCAATATAGTAGTTTTGAAGTGGAAATTTCAAGCTAATTTTGAGCATTCTTATGCGAACTGTGTTCCATTGGCTTCAAAGCAAAAAAAAAAAAAAAAAAAAAAAAACGGAAAAAATTGGCATTTTGGACCAAGCATTAAATGGAAGTTAATATAATATGCAACAGGGATTTGTGAATTTTGTTCTATTTTTGTAACAAGAGATGATTTTATGCTTTAAACAAAAAAAGAAATGCTGTAATGTATTTTTGTATACCACAGCAAAATGAAATGCTTGAACTACGTCGGAGCGGCTTATGTCTGTTTGAGCTACACTTTTTTTCTTCAATCAAATATTGAATAGAAAAGAAGTTGATTTAGGAGAAGAAGAGGTAGCGAGAAAAACTGATAGAAAATTCTATAACCATACCATTTGTTCCAGTTTTAATTTTGAGCAGTAGAAAAATTATGAAATTAATTATAAAAATTTTTCGTTTTTTTTACATTTTTGCAGTACCGTCATCAGCGCCCAACGGGTATGTCCACAGCCAAAAGGCTGGTACTCTCATTACGCGGTCGCAAGCATTCACAAGGCAATACTGCGACATCATCGACACGTTTAGTATCGGCTGGCACCTCCCCGGGACATGAGCTGGACGAAATAGCCGTTGTCTCGGGCACCGGAGGTTCCAGCCATCATTTATCATATGGTGGTATTGGCGTCGGTATTGATTTAAGTAATGGTCCCCGTTACTCGACAGGTGAGTTTGGAGCAAAAATTTCCCAATTAAAAATATGAATTAAAATTAGTAAAGAATGACAAGATATATACATTTGTGTGTAAATTGGATAAAGATACAAAGTATTTTTAAAACTTGAAGTTTAAATTTTAGATTAAAAGCACTTCACTCACATATTTAAATTTACATATTTGCATTTTGTAAGAATAATTTCGAGTACTCGTTTGATTAATTCAGTGAATGTATGCGTCTGTGTGTGTATACGCTTCATATATTGTATTAAATCTAAATATTTCCCTGATTTTATAATTTTATTTATTGCTTTATTTTAAAAATTTTAATTTTTTATTAACTTTTTTATTTTATTTCATTTCATTTGCTATTTGTTCAAATTCATTACATATTTAATTTAATATTGTCACTTTTATTCAATTCGATTCATCTTATTTGACTTTAAATTGTTTTAGTTTTTACTTTATTTTATTCATATTATTTAATTAAATTAAGTTTTTGAAACTCTTTATTTCGGATTATTGTATTGTACCCATAATAATTTATATAGATATAATTATTTTTTTTTTTATTTTTTTAGATGATGCAATTTTTTTCATTTTAATTTTATTATATTATTTTGGTATTTTCTTAATTTAATTATTTTTAATTTTTTATTTCATTTCCTTTAACAATGCAAAGAGGTACGGGGCGTATGAGTGACGTGACATTTATTTTAATTTTATTTCAATTTTTATTTTTTTCATATTATTTTATTTTTACTTTAATTAATTTTATTTTTGTTCTCATATTATTATATTTTATTTTGTTCTTTTATTTAATTAATTTTTTTTTTTATATTTTATTTTATTTTTTTATATTTTTATTTTAATTAATTCAATTTAATTTTTTTTTAATATTATTTTATTGTATTTAAATTTTTTATTTTATTATGTTTTTTGTTATATTTATTTTAAATTATTTTATTTTATATCATTTAATTTACTTACTATTATTTTTTTTAGTTTATTTTATTAATTTTTTTAATATTTTTTTGTTTGCTTGTTTTATCTTATTTCATTATGCTTAATTACAACCATTTTATTTTATTTTAGTTAATTTTTACTAGAGTTTTTTATATATATTAATGTTTGTTTTATTTTATTTTATGATATTTTGATTTTAGTTTATTTAATTTTATTTAACTTTTATTTTAATTCATTTTATATTCATATTTTATTTTAATTTTAATTTTCTTTAATTTGGTTATAATGTATTTAAATTTTTTATTTCATTCTTTGATCTATTATATTTCGCTTGAAGTTTTATTTTATTGCATTTTATTTAACTATTATTATTTATTTTATTTTATTTATATTATTTTATTTTATTTTATTTTAGTTTTGTTTGTTAATTTTTTTATTTTTTTGTTTGTTTTATTTTATTTTTCTGTTGGTTAGTTAAGTATAAGTATAATTTTTTTAAATAATTTAATCTTACTTTATTTCTACAATTCTTTTTATATTTATATATTTTTTAAATTTTTATTTTCTTTAATTTTATTATATTTTTTTAATTTCTTATTTTATTTTATTTTATGTTATTATTATTATTTTCTTTTTTATTTAATTTATATGATTTTTTTTAAGTTATTTTATATTATATTGTTTCATTTTATATTTTTTTTATTAATCTTTTTATTTTTTTTTGTTTTATTTTGTTTAAAAATGGATATCCAAAATTCCTCTTCTTTTGTTTTTCTAATTTTACACGTAAGAACTGAAGTCTGTTTGAGTTGTGAGACTCCATTATGATAGCCAACCTTTATTACGCTTTGGTTTGTCTATTTATTTTGACATTTCTCTGGTAATATAAAACCAACTCAATAAACCAACCAAAGAGCAACCAAACACTTTACGAGTCAACCCCATCTACATGCACCGTTTACAAACAGCAACTAAAATACAGGACAATAGAGTATACATACATCTATAAATATAAAGCCGAGACAAGGGCAATGTACGAAAGATTTAATGCGTCTGAGATTTGATTAGATTTGTAAATGGCACACATTTGCTTGCTTAACTGATTGAGTATCCTTGCTTCTATGTTTCTCTGCTTCAGGTTGACAATAAACAAATGAAAATAAAAGCAAAGTAAAAAAATAAATAAATAAAAAAAATACTAATATTAAAAAAAAAAACAAAGAGATTTCTTATAAAAATCTAATAACCGCACACATTGAGGCTGGAAAACGACACTAAAAAAAAAGAAAGAAAACTCAACGAAAATAAAAAAATAAAAACAGAAAAATAATGCAAAAAAAAAAATAAGTAGCTATCTATATATATTTGTGTGTATGGACCTCTCGCCTAAATAAGTAAAAGCTCTGATATAATGAAATGTACTTATGTCCTTTCCAAAATAAGCCGAAAAGGATATGAGCGAGACTAAGCTACGCTGAGCTGACTGAAAACCCACGCGCGCTTGCCAAATGACTGAGAAATATATGTATGTACGAAAAAGTTCGTTGGGTGTGCATGCGTGCGCCCACATGATGCCAATACATACATGCAGACATAAGTATGCAAAGCCGAGTAAAAAAATGAAAACGAAATAATGAATGCATAAAAAGGAGAGCACACGCGTCCTTGTTGTACCGTTATTATTTTGTGTTTCAAATTTCATTATTTGCTTTGGTCATTTACTAAGCAAGCAAAATACTAATTAAAAGCATTTGAAAGGTATAGATAAAGTCAAAATTAAATTTGAATGTTGATAAAAAATCTCTCAATAAAATGAAAGTAAGAGACTTGAATATATTATTAAAATTTAATTATTTTGTGTTGTGAATTAAAAAAGATTGCTTCATAACAAAATTTTAATTCATAATATTTTAATGTAATTATGTTTTTTTTAATGTAACCACATTTTTTATTATTATTTTTCATAGAAAATGTGTTTAGTGAAGTCTTCATAAGGGCAAAATTGGAAAGCATTTGAAAAGAATGCCATACAGAGATGGATCTCTAGAGATTTTTGTTTTTGTGCTTCTCATCATTCACTTACATCTTTTTCTTTTAGTTTTGCGCCTATTTTCTAGTCATTTCCTCTGCCTTCTTTTCCCACTGCAAGCTATTAAAGCTTGTACATACATATATATGCATATACGATTTTTAATTAAAAAACTTAAAATTTAAAGGAGAATTATTTCCATATTACATCCTTCTAAGCACAAAAAGCAATTGAGTGCCCACAAAAAAATTCTAATTAAAAAATTCTCAAATTCACACATACGTCATTAAAGAAATTGCTTTCACTAATGGTTTCTCGGCTTCTAGTTACCTTTAAAGTATAACTAAAATATAGTTTAGAAACGAGAGAGTTTGCCATTTTGCTATCAAAAAGCAAACAAACAAAAAAAAAATATAAAGAAAAAATACCAACAACATTAACATACCAAAAGCATACAACAAACAGTTATTAGACTAAAGAATGGAAGAACGTTAGCTTCATTATATGAAGAGCTCTCTTCGCCTTTCACCACCCAACTAATACCCATGAAGTAAGTAATAATATCTTACATTATGAAACAATCACCGAGAAAGCTTCACAGCTACGAAAACAGTTAGCCAGGCAGTCAGCCAGCCATTTTGGCTAAATTACTTTTGCTTTACGCCATTACAACTACATACTTATGTACATGCGTACGAATATACTCCATTTTCATGGTACTAAATATAAAGTAATTTGATGCCTAAGGACATTTTGCTCCACTTGATTGCAAAATATGAAGTTGGGGGTAGCATATTTTTGTGTATAAATGTACATATGTATGTATATAGGATGGTATTGTGGCATTTTGCAGCGTTAAGGGGATGGGCAAGTGGATCGTGAGAATGCGAACATATGAAAAAACAGATGACAACCACAACAAAGAGACATTTGAAAACATAGTGAAACACTTAAAGGCACATTCCAGCAAAAGGTGGAGGCTTCTTACATAAATACATATGTACATAAATACATACATACATAAGTACAAATATTCACAAAGTATAAAAGGGTATTAAGAGTTGAAAGGTTGTTGGAAGTGCTTTAAGTAATCTTATATACAAATATATTTATATAAAAATGAATAAATATCTATGTGCGTATGTATGCGCAATTAACTTATAATAATGTGTGCGGGTTTTTTTATAGCTAAGGATTAAAATTACGCATGCTTCTCATAACAATTTACAGATGGAGCAGTAATTAAATATACATATACATTGAAATGTATGTGCAGAGAATGCTTAAATATCATTTGAGTAAAGTCAAACAAATTAAAAATTAAAAATAAAACAAAACAAATTAAACAAACGAAGAAATGTGGTATAACAATTCCAAAAAGAAATTAAATAAAATTTAAAATTGGAATAAAAATTAATAGAACAAATATAAAAATGACATAAAGAAAATTTAATTTAATTATTTCAATTGAATTAAATACAATAAAAAAATTAAAATAAAATAAAACAATATAAAACATATTAAGCTAAAATAAATTAAATCGAAATAAAATAAAGTAATTTAAAATAAAATGAAATAAAATAAAATAAATAAAAAATAAAAAAATATAACAAAATAAAAGAAAAAAAAATTTAAATAAAATAAGGTATACTAAAACACAATTAAATAAAACAAACAAATAAAATTAAAAAAAAAATCCAAAAAATAAGATAAAATAAAGTAAAAAAAATTTATTTCATTTTAAAATAAATTAAAATAAAAAAATTAAATAAAAACAAATTTAAAGAAAATAAAATCAAATAAAATAAAAAAAAAAATAAAATAAAATAATGTGAAATAAAATAAAGTAAAACATTGCAAAATGAAAAAAAAATGAAATAATACAAAATAATTTTAAATAAAATAAGAAAATTAAAAAAAAACGAAAATAATCTTTCTTACTTTAATGACACTGACAGCGTTTACGCAATGTAGCGCAATAGCGGAATCAATACTGGTGAACCACTCATCCTTTC